TTATTAATGTAGTCATCTGCCTGCTGGTTATTAATGTAGTCATCTGTCTGCTGGTTATTAATGTAGTCATCTGCCTGCTGGTTATTAATGTAGTCATCTGGTTGATGGTTATTAATGTAGTCATCTGCCTGCTGGTTATTAATGTAGTCATCTGGTTGATGGTTATTAATGTAGTCATCTGCCTGCTGGTTATTAATGTAGTCATCTGTCTGCTGGTTATTAATGTAGTCATCTGCCTGCAGGTTATTAATGTAGTCATCTGGCTGATGGTTATTAATGTAGTCATCTGCCTGCTGGTTATTAAAGTAGTCATCTGGTTGATGGTTATTAATGTAGTCATCTGCCTGCTGGTTATTAATGTAGTCATCTGGTTGATGGTTATTAATGTAGTCATCTGCCTGCTGGTTATTAATGTAGTCATCTGTCTGCTGGTTATTAATGAAGTCATCTGCCTGCTGGTTATTAATGTAGTCATCTGGCTGATGGTTATTAATGTAGTCATCTGCCTGCTGGTTATTAATGTAGTCATCTGTCTGCTGGTTATTAATGTAGTCATCTGCCTGATGGTTATTAATGTAGTCATCTGGCTGATGGTTATTAATGTAGTCATCTGCCTGCTGGTTATTAATGTAGTCATCTGGTTGATGGTTATTAATGTAGTCATCTGCCTGCTGGTTATTATGTAGTCATCTGGTTGATGGTTATTAATGTAGTCATCTGCCTGCTGGTTATTAATGTAGTCATCTACGTGATGGTTATTATTGTAGTCATCTGCATGATGGTTATTAATGTAGTCATCTGGCTGATGGTTATTAATGTAGTCATCTGCCTGCTGGTTATTAATGTAGTCATCTGCCTGCTGGTTATTAATGTAGTCATCTGGTTGATGGTTATTAATGTAGTCATCTGGCTGCTGGTTATTAATGTAGTCATCTGGCTGCTGGTTATTAATGTAGTCATCTGGTTGATGGTTATTAATGTAGTCATCTGGCTGCTGGTTATTAATGTAGTCATCTGGCTGCTGGTTATTAATGTAGTCATCTGCCTGCTGGTTATTAATGTAGTCATTTCTCTGCTGGTTATTAATGTAGTCATCTGGTTAATGGTTATTAATGTAGTCATCTGGCTGCTGGTTATTAATGTAGTCATCTGGCTGATGGTTATTAATGTAGTCATCTGCCTGCTGGTTATTAATGTAGTCATCTGCCTGCTGGTTATTAATGTAGTCATTTCCCTGCTGGTTATTAATGTAGTCATTTCCCTGATGGTTATTAATGTAGTCATCTGCCTGCTGGTTATTAATGTAGTCATCTGGCTGATGGTTATTAATGTAGTCATCTGCCTGCTGGTTATTAATGTAGTCATCTGCCTGCTGGTTATTAATGTAGTCATCTGGCTGCTGGTTATTAATGTAGTCATCTGCCTGCTGGTTATTAATGTAGTCATCTGTCTGCTGGTTATTAATGTAGTCATCTGTCTGATGGTTATTAATGTAGTCATCTGCCTGCTGGTTATTAATGTAGTCATCTGTCTGATGGTTATTAATGTAGTCATCTGTCTGATGGTTATTAATGTAGTCATCTGCCTGCTGGTTATTAATGTAGTCATCTGTCTGCTGGTTATTAATGTAGTCATCTGTCTGCTGGTTATTAATGTAGTCATCTGGCTGATGGTTATTAATGTAGTTATCTGGCTGATGGTTATTAATGTAGTCATCTGGCTGATGGTTATTAATGTAGTCATCTGGTTGATGGTTATTAATGTAGTCATCTGGCTGATGGTTATTAATGTAGTCATCTGGCTGATGGTTATTAATGTAGTCATCTGCCTGCTGGTTATTAATGTAGTCATCTGGCTGATGGTTATTAATGTAGTCATCTGGTTGATGGTTATTAATGTAGTCATCTGGCTGATGGTTATTAATGTAGTCATCTGGCTGCTGGTTATTAATGTAGTCATTTCCCTGCTCGTTATTAATGTAGTCATCTGGCTGATGGTTATTAATGTAGTCATCTGTCTGCTGGTTATTAATGTAGTCATCTGGCTGATGGTTATTAATGTAGTCATCTGTCTGCTGGTTATTAATGTAGTCATCTGGTTGATGGTTATTAATGTAGTCATCTGCCTGCTGGTTATTAATGTAGTCATCTGGTTGATGGTTATTAATGTAGTCATCTGGCTGATGGTTATTAATGTAGTCATCTGGTTGATGGTTATTAATGTAGTCATTTGGCTGATGGTTATTAATGTAGTCATCTGCCTGCTGGTTATTAATGTAGTCATCTGTCTGCTGGTTATTAATGTAGTCATCTGGTTGATGGTTATTAATGTAGTCATCTGCCTGCTGGTTATTAATGTAGTCATCTGGTTGATGGTTATTAATGTAGTCATCTGGTTGATGGTTATTAATGTAGTCATCTGGCTGATGGTTATTAATGTAGTCATCTGGCTGATGGTTATTAATGTAGTCATCTGGCTGATGGTTATTAATGTAGTCATCTGGCTGATGGTTATTAATGGAGTCATCTGGCTGATGGTTATTAATGTAGTCATCTGGCTGATGGTTATTAATGTAGTCATCTGCATGCTGGTTATTAATGTAGTCATCTGGTTGATGGTTATTAATGTAGTCATCTGCCTGCTGGTTATTAATGTAGTCATCTGTCTGCTGGTTATTAATGTAGTCATCTGGTTGATAGTTATTAATGTAGTCATCTGCCTGCTGGTTATTAATGTAGTCATCTGGTTGATGGTTATTAATGTAGTCATCTGGCTGATGGTTATTAATGTAGTCATCTGCCTGCTGGTTATTAATGTAGTCATCTGGCTGATGGTTATTAATGTAGTCATCTGTCTGCTGGTTATTAATGTAGTCATCTGGTTGATGGTTATTAATGTAGTCATCTGCCTGCTGGTTATTAATGTAGTTATCTGGTTGATGGTTATTAATGTAGTCATCTGGCTGATGGTTATTAATGTAGTCATCTGGTTGATGGTTATTAATGTAGTCATTTGGCTGATGGTTATTAATGTAGTCATCTGCCTGCTGGTTATTAATGTAGTCATCTGTCTGCTGGTTATTAATGTAGTCATCTGGCTGATGGTTATTAATGTAGTCATCTGGCTGATGGTTATTAATGTAGTCATCTGGCTGATGGTTATTAATGTAGTCATCTGCATGCTGGTTATTAATGTAGTCATCTGGCTGATGGTTATTAATGTAGTCATCTGGCTGATGGTTATTAATGTAGTCATCTGGCTGATGGTTATTAATGTAGTCATCTGCATGCTGGTTATTAATGTAGTCATCTGGCTGATGGTTTTAATGTAGTCATCTGGCTGATGGTTATTAATGTAGTCATCTGGCTGATGGTTATTAATGTAGTCATCTGCATGCTGGTTATTAATGTAGTCATCTGGTTGATGGTTATTAATGTAGTCATCTGCCTGCTGGTTATTAATGTAGTCATCTGTCTGCTGGTTATTAATGTAGTCATCTGGTTGATGGTTATTAATGTAGTCATCTGCCTGCTGGTTATTAATGTAGTCATCTGGTTGATGGTTATTAATGTAGTCATCTGGCAGCTGGTTATTAATGTAGTCATCTGGCAGCTGGTTATTAATGTAGTCATCTGGCTGATGGTTATTGATGTAGTCATTTGCCTGCTGGTTATTAATGTAGTCATCTGGTTGATGGTTATTAATGTAGTCATCTGTCTGCTGGTTATTAATGTAGTCATCTGGCTGATGGTTATTGATGTAGTCATCTGGCTGATGGTTATTGATGTAGTCATCTGGCTGCTGGTTATTAATGTAGTCATCTGGTTGATGGTTATTAATGTAGTCATCTGGCTGATGGTTATTGATGTAGTCATTTGCCTGCTGGTTATTAATGTAATCATCTGGTTGATGGTTATTAATGTAGTCATCTGCCTGCTGGTTATTAATGTAGTCATCTGTCTGCTGGTTATTAATGTAGTCATCTGGCTGATGGTTATTGATGTAGTCATCTGCCTGCTGGTTATTAATGTAGTCATCTGGTTGATGGTTATTAATGTAGTCATCTGCCTGCTGGTTATTAATGTAGTCATCTTGTTGATGGTTATTAATGTAGTCATCTGCCTGCTGGTTATTAATGTAGTCATCTGGCTGATGGTTATTAATGTAGTCATCTGCCTGCTGGTTATTAATGTAGTCATCTGGTTGATGGTTATTAATGTAGTCATCTGCCTGCTGGTTATTAATGTAGTCATCTGTCTGCTGGTTATTAATGTAGTCATCTGCCTGCTGGTTATTAATGTAGTCATCTGGCTGATGGTTATTAATGTAGTCATCTGCCTGCTGGTTATTAATGTAGTCATCTGGTTGATGGTTATTAATGTAGTCATCTGCCTGCTGGTTATTAATGTAGTCATCTGGTTGATGGTTATTAATGTAGTCATCTGCCTGCTGGTTATTAATGTAGTCATCTGTCTGCTGGTTATTAATGTAGTCATCTGCCTGCTGGTTATTAATGTAGTCATCTGGCTGATGGTTATTAATGTAGTCATCTGCCTGCTGGTTATTAATGTAGTCATCTGTCTGCTGGTTATTAATGTAGTCATCTGTCTGCTGGTTATTAATGTAGTCATCTGCCTGCTGGTTATTAATGTAGTCATCTGGCTGATGGTTATTAATGTAGTCATCTGCCTGCTGGTTATTAATGTAGTCATCTACGTGATGGTTATTAATGTAGTCATCTGCATGATGGTTATTAATGTAGTCATCTGGCTGATGGTTATTAATGTAGTCATCTGCCTGCTGGTTATTAATGTAGTCATCTGCCTGCTGGTTATTAATGTAGTCATCTGCCTGCTGGTTATTAATGTAGTCATCTGGTTGATGGTTATTAATGTAGTCATCTGGTTGATGGTTATTAATGTAGTCATCTGGCTGCTGGTTATTAATGTAGTTGATAGGTATTTGTGAATCTAGATAAAAGAACAAACAGACAACGCAAGTGAATTTTATGAAAGCTTTTGCAAAAGGAGAGAACCCAGCAAACCGCTGCTTCCAGCCGTTCACCGAGCGCTCTGAAGACCCTTTGTTAGGGCTTTCTCTTTTATTACAAAGTAGATAGTAGAAAAGGAATGTGGAGGGAGGCAGATAGGAGTATCCCGAAGATACAAGTGGCTGCAGCTTCAAGGTCTGTACACAGCTGCAGCTCCAAAGTCTAACAAGTATGAGAGCTTTTCTCAGGGATGTGAATATTAAATCTATTATAGCTACCAATGTAAGAATGATAACAAAACATAATTATTCTAACATTCCCCCGTGTTTATAATTCTTACGTAATAACTATGCAAAAAATAGTATAAAAAGAAAAAGAATGGATGACACATGTTATACAAGAGTTGTAGAATACATAATATATAATATAAGAAGGATAGAAAAAAGAAATATAAAAGAAACATTAAAAACCAAATGCATATAATGTTTTGTTAATAAAATAATAATGTTGAATGTAAGAATGAGAACACAGAAAAAAAACAACAACCCAGAAACTAACAAACAGCAGAAAATCAAGTGCAGTTATCATCACTAACACCATTTGTTTTCACATTTTCAGTGTCGGAGTCATCAAGCAAATGATTGAATCTGTTTATTAATTTACAAGACATCATCATATGTACTCGTTTTCCAGTCATCTTCTTTCTTCTGGAGCAACATGTAGTCCTCATCTGTGTCAGAGGTTACCCTGACCAACTGATAGCTGAGCAGAGCAGTGTTAAATGTCTTTAACAGCATGCTTTGAAAACATGAAATGAGGCAGGTTGTGAACAGACAGAATAGGATCAGTCCAGTCAAGATGGGTGTTCCAATGTTAACCAAAAGCTGCCACCAGAGTCTAGAGGTCAGCCAAGAAAGAAAGTCAAAAGTTTGTGAGCCCTGAGTTGCACTGTCCACATAGTTCTTAAGCTCTTCCAAATCATGCAGGGCATCATGAATAGTTCCAACAGTTGCTCTTTCATCTCATGTTGAACCTATGATCTTGCAGACGCTTCCTTGAGAGGTTGTGAGAAAAGCCAACACAACACAGTTTTCAAAAACATGTAAGCTCCATCTCCACACAGGAAGTACCAGTCAGCCATCACCCGTGAACCATAGTCTCCTGGCACTATGGCGCTGCAACGAGCTTTCTCCTGTCGTCCTCTCGTCTGCTGAGTGATGTCGAACGTCGAACCTCCTTTCCTGAAGCAAATTGTGACAGTTTGGATTGTCGTTCCAGATGCTGTGTTCTGGGGTTGGCTCCTGACCTCTGCAGGCGATGCAGTCGATGTATTCCGGTGTTGTTTCGCAGAAGGTGTAAACTGTGTTACACAGGTTCCATGGGAGCATTCCTAGTGTTGTAGGTCCATTGTTGTAAATGCAGCTCCTGAGAGATCCTGGTTTGGCCCCTGCCAAGGAATGATCTCTGGTATTTTCATCACAGTCTGTGGAAATGGAAGAACATCAGCAGCAAGTGAACAGTTCATAGCTCCAAAAAGTCCTTTAGCGGCAGCTCCTGTCCGAAGTGAAAAAGAATAGTCCTTTTTGCACCATCTGCATCCCTTTGGTGTGGGGATGCTGTACCGTGGGTGTGTGCTCAGGCCATAGAGACACATCTGTTTGTCATCAGTGATGTTACCTGGTCGAAGGCCTGAGTTGTGTGTGGCGTAGGGCAGCTGTGCACACACATAGCAGTTCACCTCGTGAGCAGTCCTGTTCATTAGTTGCCACCACAGGTTAGTGCTGTAGTCATGTGGATGAGACTTGGGGAAGAGTGTTTGTGCTTCTCTCCTTATCTTGTGGAGGCTGAGGCAGCTTCCACTCCAGAACAAAAAACATGCTGCAGTCACAGCGCAGAAGAGATTCCACCTGGCCTGTGAGAATCCCATTGCTGCTCAGATTACAGAGATGTTAGAAGTTACCTAGGACTCTATAGAACAGGGGGTTGATGATTTCTTCACCACCGTTGAGACGAGTGACCCTAAAAAGCCAAACCCCTGTGAAGGTGGACTCCCACCTGCTCCCACCTAGGCTTCCAACACTCTCTTCAACTTACAGTGACTGAGATGAATCCAGCTGGGTCGTTCAGCAATCTTTACAGCAGTTGGAGTTGTTATCAGCACTTAGAATAGTCCCTCCCACCGTGGGCTGGCCCAGCTCTTCCTCTTTATGACTTTGATAAACGCCCAGTCTCCTGGCTTGGTGGGAGTGGTTTCCTGCGGGAGAGGAGAGTCAGAGGGCAGTAAATTTGCATTTGACACTTCCATCAGTTTCAGAGTCCTGATCATGTAATCTGCCAGTGTTTGCTCCTCATCTGCATGTTGCAAATCTGGAGAAAATATTGGTAATCTGTATGGTCTTCCATGAATTATTTCAAATGGTGTTAATCCTTCTTGTGTGGGTGTAATTCTTGTGTGTGTACAACTTTACCAAATCTAAACATTTTAACCACGGTGTTCCATACATTTTCTTTAATCTAATTTTCAGTATAAATGGTTTGTGGTATTGGAATAATAGTTTTACATAAGCTTTAGCTACTGTCAAAGCATCTGGATGCTTTGCTAGAACTATTTCAACCCATTTAGAAAAAGCATCAATAATTACCAAACAATATTTGTTTGCATTGTTTGAAATGGATAAGAAGGTTTTGGGAAAGTTCCTCTTTTTGGCCTTGTGTTCCCTTGTGGATTGTGTCTAACACAAAGTATGCAGAACAAAAATTTTTAGATAAGAATTTAGTCCATATGTTGTGAAATACTGTAGTATAATCCCCACTATTCCCCCTGTTGACACATGGCATCGCCCATGTGCCACAATTGCGGCTGCTTTAGATAAAGACTTTGGGAGAACTGGTTTGTTATTGACTTGAAAGATTTCCTCATCCATTTTGCACCCTGCTAGTTTTAGCTAACAGTTATATTGCTTGAAGGATAGCTGTTAGCAAAGAGGCATTTTGTTAAAGATCGTACATATGGATGTTATCAAATTCATCAAGGTGAAGCACTTTTGTTTTACTCCTGACAGAAGGCACAACCCAGAGTTGGCTCTGCTGCAGAACAATGTTATTACCCTTTTACATGAAAATTACCATTCTGAAATTAAGCCAAAATCTCAAATCCTCTAATTCAATATTCCTTTATGAATTTAATGATCATCAATCAATCAACCTTGGATTAAAGGTTTTAAGCGTTATCTAGAAAACATTATGTTTATTCAAAAACATCAATTTGGAGTAACTAGTTAGATAAAATATAACAATTTAATTTAACCTTGCATTTCAGACCAGTTGACAATGTAATTTTTATGATTTAAATGATAATTTGATCAGTTACTCAGTTCTTGAGTGCAATCTGTTTGTTCCAATAATCACACTCATTTCCATCAACGTAATGTGACACAAACAGAAACATGAAAATGAATCAGATTTTCAGCCACAAAATTATAGTCTGCTTTCATTGTTTTCCTTTGCTCAAATGGTTATACAATTTTCTGAAGCTTCAAGAATTTTTTTTATTTGTCAACAACATTTCAATGTGTTAATATTTATCTTTAGTTGTCAGAATCTTCTTTTAAGTAATGTATACATTTTAAGAGCTATCTCAGACGTGTTGGAAACCAGCCACAACTGAATTTCCTGCTGCTGAAACACTTCACCAATTTCAATAAAATGTAGATTCATAACTGTTCAAATGAATATTATTTCATTTATTTCTTATTTATTTATTTTAACATTCAGAGATATTAGATTTTAAATCCACTCTAGCATGTATTATCAAGATAGTCCTAAAAAAAAAAAAAGAAAAAGAAAACTTTTGTAAATAATTATTATCTTAGAATCTTTGATCATTTTTAGCTGGTGTAATTTAGTGGCATAATTTCCATTAGTTCTTTGCTGATCTTTTAGCGATTGCAGTTTTCCCTTCACGGTTTCCCAATCTGTGGCTCATGGACCCTAAGAGGATCCTTAGCAGTGGCCCTGCTGTTCAGGACTCAGAGTTAAAAGGGACAAACTGAGAGAATGTGTCTATCATCAAAAGCTGTTAAGACTTTATTTTCTGGCTAGATAATATGTGAACAGGGTTATAAAGCAAGCAAGTCTTCATTGCAGTTGCAGTGTATAACAGTTGTGTATGTGTATAACACTTATCTTGGATGAGCTCACTTCTCCCTCCTCCTCCTGCTGCTGGCGTCGCTGCAGCGTGGTCCTCTCCTCCTCTCTCTCTGCAGTTTTCTGTCAACTGGTTCTGTATTGGATCTTTGAGTTGCCCAGACTGTCCCTCACTCAATGTCCATGCTGTCCACAAATGAAACAAGGGTCAAACAGTTCAGTTTGTTGTCTCTGAAGCACATTATCCTTCCTTGTCCAGGCTGATGTCAGGGAGTAAACCAGCGGAGGTTGTAAGAGTTCAGTTGCACCCAAACACAGGAATGTAGTTTCAGACCAACTGTCCAGCATGACTCCATGTAGTAGTTTGCTCAATGACAGTTCCTGGTGTCAGAAAATTAGGATCAGCAGATCTCTTCTTTGTCTTCTTTATCACTGTCATTAGCTGGTGAGGGGGGAGGGACATCATCTCAGCCATGGTAAGACAGGTTTGAGTTGAGGTCAGAGGTTAGACGCACCGCAGCGAGGCTCAGACAGAGGAAAAAGAAAGAAGCAAATAGGAGTCAATTAGAGTTTGTCTTTCTTTCTGTTTTTTTTAAATTTCTAAATATATATAGATATATATTTCATATCTATATCTCTTGGGCTGCTCTTTAGATTATATAATTTTAGCCACTTATTACCCAACATTTTATTTAAAAGTTATGAGTCATTAACTTATTCGAACACATATAAAAATGAAACATGTTAAACCCATAGTCTCTTTTATCCTTTGCCATGTTAAAGTTTAATGTAGAATGTAAGTTAATTAAGTTTAAGTTAACTTAGTCTGAGAAAACATCAGAGATCAATGAATTACTTTAAGTTGTTGATCCTAATGCTGAGGTGTGAAGTCAGCGAGCAGCCCTCTTCTCATTTTAAGCCTAAGTGAGATAAGAGGCTGGATAATGTCCAGGTCGGTACCAAAACTCTGATCGCTGACCCCCCAAACATACAGCCAAAGGATCACAGCACCAAAGTTGGTGTCATTTTCTTTGTAATTGTTCTACCAAGTAATCAATACATTGAAAAGAAAGGGGAAAAAAAAAATTGTTGTCATCTGTTGCTTTCCCTGTATAATTTCCCCTTATTTTTGCCCAATCTTTCCCTAATGAGGACATGGCTGCATCTCCTACTTCTACCCCATTTAGTCTGTATGAGTGAATTAATCCAGCCATGTCTTCTATCCACTTATCGGGGTTCTCTGCAACATGTGTTATTCCTTCCACAGCCTTCCTGGCCTCTTCTAAAGTCCAGGGTCTAAAAACATAAATGTGTGGTGACTGTCCATCTCTAGGATTTGGGTTTGGGACCTGGATCATTGGATATTGTTCTGTACCGTCAAAACTGTTCAAAACTTTTGGCTGTTTGTACTGCCTTAGATTATATGAATGTCCCTGATTACTGGGACCTGCGCCTTCCTTCTCATATAGCAACGGTGGGTAGACAGGAAGAGGTGGATAAAGTGTATTTGGAGTGAGAACTGACAGTGGATCTGTGGTCAGCTCAGCTGGTGGTGATTTTGCAGGAGTGAGAGTTGGAGGAGCCAAGGGGAGCGCTGCCTGTGTGCGCGGAGGAGGTGCCTGCATTGCACCTAGTATGGGCTCATTATCTTCTGGCTTTACAAACAAAGTAGTGGCTTCCTCACTTTACTCCTTTTGTCTTTGTTTTTTCTAATTTGTTCTCTCCTTTCTTTAGTTGCATCTAACCATTGCTTAGCACATTTTAGTTCTTCCTCATTTCTTTCTCTCCTCCTTCCTTGTTTTTCAGATATGCTTTTTTCTAATATTCCCACTAAAGTTTGCCATTGTTCAATTTTTAATTTCCCATCTATCTTATATTTCTTCTTCCATTTTGACATGTGTACTGTGCTACCAGGAAATCTGGACAGCATGTACTTTTCATCCCCTGTGGGATCCTCAACAAGTGAGAAATTACAAGAATTTTTATTTCCCATTATTTAAGTACTCTGCAATTTAGCTTTAGAAATGACTTGATATTTTGTGCTCTCTCTCAAGTAAGTGCTGGAGGTCAGCGCTTAGTGTCCCCTGAAGAACAGGCTTCTAGACTGAGAGTAGCCTCAGTCCGGTTCTTCACTTAGGATTCTAATTCCGAGGACAGAAAGTTTTACTCACAGAGAGAGATGAGCACCACTCGCTCTCGTATGCACACACACATACACACACACACACAGCACGGCAGCAATGACACAGCAATAACGATCGCAGCAACAAACAATGACACAGCAATAAAAAATCGCAGCAACTAACAATGACACAGCAATAAAAAATCGCAGCAACTAACAATTTCCTATCAGTGCGAGGATCCTTCCTTATGGGAAGTCCTCATTAAAAGAGGGGCTCTAAAAACACCTCTCTCGTAGATTTTAGTTGAGACAACAGGGAATCTACACCCTCTGGGACTTTAGTCAGAATGTTATTTGACATGGACTCCAACCTTTTTAGCTGATAGGCATCAACTGGGCCTTTAAACCTTTGGTACTTTAGTCAAGATATTATTTGACAAGGACTCCAACCTAGAATTTATGGTACTTTAGTCAAAATACTATTTGACAAGGACTCCAACCTAGAATTTATGGTACTTTAGTCAAGATATTATTTGACAAGGACTCCAACCTAGAATTTATGGTACTTTAGTCAAAATACTATTTGACAAGGACTCCAACCTAGAATTTATGGTACTTTAGTCAAGATATTATTTGACAAGGACTCCAACCTAGAATTTATGGTACTTTAGTCAAAATACTATTTGACAAGGACTCCAACCTAGAATTTATGGTACTTTAGTCAAAATACTATTTGACAAGGACTCCAACCTAGAATTTATGGTACTTTAGTCAAAATACTATTTGACAAGGACTCCAACCTAGAATTTAGCTGATAAACATCAACTGCAATATCAATTGTTTCACTTACGCTTTCTGTCGGCCCGTTCTGTTCGGTCGGATCTCGTCAACCCGCCACCGGCAGACAAAGTCGGACCTAGGTCGCTGGCCTGGCGAAGAATTCAATTCCCGGGTCTTTCTTTCCAGGTCCTATTGACTCTGGCCGTGCACGGTTTTCAGCGTGTCCTTTCTGCCTGTCAGTGACGGCTCTTAGAGATCCGGGTCACGGCACCAAAATGATAGGTATTTGTGAATCTAGATAAAAGAACAAACAGACAACGCAAGTGAATTTTATGAAAGCTTTTGCAAAAGGAGAGAACCCAGCAAACCGCTGCTTCCAGCCGTTCACCGAGCGCTCTGAAGACCCTTTGTTAGGGCTTTCTCTTTTATTACAAAGTAGATAGTAGAAAAGGAATGTGGAGGGAGGCAGATAGGAGTATCCCGAAGATACAAGTGGCTGCAGCTTCAAGGTCTGTACACAGCTGCAGCTCCAAAGTCTAACAAGTATGAGAGCTTTTCTCAGGGATGTGAATATTAAATCTATTATAGCTACCAATGTAAGAATGATAACAAAACATAATTATTCTAACAGTAGTCATCTGGTTGATGGTTATTAATGTAGTCATCTGGCTGCTGGTTATTAATGTAGTCATCTGGCTGCTGGTTATTAATGTAGTCATCTGCCTGCTGGTTATTAATGTAGTCATTTCCCTGCTGGTTATTAATGTAGTCATCTGGTTTATGGTTATTAATGCAGTCATCTGGCTGCTGGTTATTAATGTCGTCATCTGGCTGATGGTTATTAATGTAGTCATCTGCCTGCTGGTTATTAATGTAGTCATCTGCCTGATGGTTATTAATGTAGTCAGTTCCCTGCTGGTTATTAATGTAGTCATTTCCCTGATGGTTATTAATGTAGTCATCTGCCTGCTGGTTATTAATGTAGTCATCTGCTGGGTTGGTTATAATGTAGTCATCTGCCTGCTGGTAATTAATGTAGTCATCTGCCTGCTGGTTATTAATGTAGTCATCTGGCTGCTGGTTATTAATGTAGTCATCTGTCTGCCGGGTTTTAATGTAGTCATCTGCCTGCTGGTTATTAATGTAGTCATCTGTCTGATGGTTATTAATGTAGTCATCTGTCTGATGGTTAATGTAGTCATCTGCCCGCTGGTTATTAATGTAGTCATTTCCCTGCTGGTTATTAATGTAGTCATCTGGTTAATGGTTATTAATGCAGTCATCTGGCTGCTGGTTATTAATGTAGTCATCTGGCTGATGGTTATTAATGTAGTCATCTGCCTGCTGGTTATTAATGTAGTCATCTGTCTGGTGGTTATTAATGTAGTCATCTGTCTGATGGTTATTAATGTAGTCATCTGCCCGCTGGTTATTAATGTAGTCATTTCCCTGCTGGTTATTAATGTAGTCATCTGGTTAATGGTTATTAATGCAGTCATCTGGCTGCTGGTTATTAATGTAGTCATCTGGCTGATGGTTATTAATGTAGTCATCTGCCTGCTGGTTATTAATGTAGTCATCTGCCTGCTGGTTATTAATGTAGTCAGTTCCCTGCTGGTTATTAATGTAGTCATTTCCCTGATGGTTATTAATGTAGTATCTGCCTGCTGGTTATTAATGTAGTCATCTGGCTGTTGGTTATTAATGTAGTCATCTGCCCGCTGGTTATTAATGTAGTCATCTGCCTGCTGGTAATTAATGTAGTCATCTGCCTGCTGGTTATTAATGTAGTCATCTGGCTGCTGGTTATTAATGTAGTCATCTGCCTGCTGGTTATTAATGTAGTCATCTGTCTGATGGTTATTAATGTAGTCATCTGTCTGATGGTTATTAATGTAGTCATCTGCCTGCTGGTTATTAATGTAGTCATCTGTCTGATGGTTATTAATGTAGTCATCTGTCTGATGGTTATTAATGTAGTCATCTGCCTGCTGGTTATTAATGTAGTCATCTGTCTGCTGGTTATTAATGTAGTCATCTGGCTGATGGTTATTAATGTAGTCATCTGGCTGATGGTTATTAATGTAGTCATCTGGTGATGGTTATTAATGTAGTCATCTGGCTGATGGTTATTAATGTAGTCATCTGGCTGATGGTTATTAATGTAGTCATCTGGTTGATGGTTATTAATGTAGTCATCTGGCTGATGGTTATTAATGTAGTCATCTGGCTGCTGGTTATTAATGTAGTCATTTCCCTGCTGGTTATTAATGTAGTCATCTGGCTGATGGTTTATTAATGTAGTCATCTGTCTGCTGGTTATTAATGTAGTCATCTGGCTGATGGTTATTAATGTAGTCATCTGTCTGCTGGTTATTAATGTAGTCATCTGGCTGATGGTTATTAATGTAGTCATCTGTCTGCTGGTTATTAATGTAGTCATCTGGCTGATGGTTATTAATGTAGTCATCTGGCTGATGGTTATTAATGTAGTCATCTGCCTGCTGGTTATTAGTGTAGTCATCTGTCTGCTGGTTATTAATGTAGTCATCTGCCTGCTGGTTATTAATGTAGTCATCTGGCTGATGGTTATTAATGTAGTCATCTGGCTGATGGTTATTAATGTAGTCATTTCCCTGCTGGTTATTAATGTAGTCATCTGGCTGATGGTTATTAATGTAGTCATCTGGTTGATGGTTATTAATGTAGTCATCTGTCTGCTGGTTATTAATGTAGTCATCTGGCTGATGGTTATTAATGTAGTCATCTGGCTGATGGTTATTAATGTAGTCATCTGGATGATGGTTATTACTGTAGTCATCTGGCTGATGGTTATTAATGTAGTCATCTGGCTGCTGGTTATTAGTGTAGTCATCTGTCTGCTGGTTATTAATGTAGTCATCTGCCTTCTGGTTATTAATGTAGTCATTTCCCTGCTGGTTATTAATGTAGTCATCTGGCTGATGGTTATTAATGTAGTCATCTGTCTGCTGGTTATTAATGTAGTCATCTGCCTGCTGGTTATTAATGTAGTCATCTGGCTGATGGTCATTAATGTAGTCATCTGGCTGATGGTTATTAATGTAGTCATTTCCCTGCTGGTTATTAATGTAGTCATCTGGCTGATGGTTATTAATGTAGTCATCTGCCTGCTGGTTATTAATGTAGTCATCTGGCTGATGGTTATTAATGTAGTCATCTGCCTGCTGGTTATTAATGTAGTCATCTGACTGCTGGTTATTAATGTAGTCATCTGCCTGCTAGTTATTAATGTAGTCATCTGGCTGATGGTTATTAATGTAGTCATCTGGCTGATGGTTATTAATGTAGTCATCTGCCTGCTAGTTATTAATGTAGTCATCTGGCTGATGGTTATTAATGCAGTCATCTGCCTGCTGGTTATTAATGTAGTCATCTGCCTGCTGGTTATTAATATAGTCATCTGAGTGATGGTTATTAATGTAGTCATCTGCCTGCTGGTTATTAATGTAGTCATCTGACTGATGGTTATTAATGTAGTCATCTGGCTGATGGTTATTAATGTAGTCATCTGGCTGATGGTTATTAATGTAGTCATCTGGCTGATGGTTTTTAATGTAGTCATCTGGCTGCTGGTTATTAATGTAGTCATCTGCCTGCTGGTTATTAATGTAGTCATCTGCGTGATGGTTATTAATGTAGTCATCTGCCTGCTGGTTATTAATGTAGTCATCTGGCTGATGGTTATTAATGTAGTCATCTGGTTGATGGTTATTAATGTAGTCATCTGGCTGATGGTTATTAATGTAGTCATCTGGCTGATGGTTATTAATGTAGTCATCTGGTTGATGGTTATTAATGTAGTCATCTGGCTGATGGTTATTAATGTAGTCATCTGCCTGCTAGTTATTAATGTAGTCATCTGGCTGATGGTTATTAATGTAGTCATCTGGTTGATGGTTATTAATGTAGTCATCTGGCTGATGGTTATTAATGTAGTCATCTGGCTGATGGTTATTAATGTAGTCATCTGGTTGATGGTTATTAATGTAGTCATCTGGCTGATGGTTATTAATGTAGTCATCTGCCTGCTAGTTATTAATGTAGTCATCTGGCTGATGGTTATTAATGCAGTCATCTGCCTGCTGGTTATTAATGTAGTGCTGGCTGGTTATTAATGTAGTCATCTGACTGATGGTTATTAATGTAGTCATCTGGCTGCTGGTTATTAATGTAGTCATCTGGCTGATGGTTATTAATGTAGTTATCTGCCTGCTGGTTATTAATGTAGTCATCTGGTTGATGGTTATTAATGCAGTCATTTGGCTGCAGGTTATTAATGTAGTCATCTGGCTGATGGTTATTAATGTAGTCATCTGGCTGATGGTTATTAATGTAGTCATCTGGTTGATGGTTATTAATGTAGTCATCTGGCTGATGGTTATTAATGTAGTCATCTGGCTGATGGTTATTAATGTAGTCATCTGCCTGCTAGTTATTAATGTAGTCATCTGGCTGATGGTTATTAATGCAGTCATCTGCCTGCTGGTTAATAATGTAGTCATCTGCCTGCTGGTTATTAATGTAGTCATCTGACTGATGGTTATTAATGTAGTCATCTGGCTGATGGTTATTAATGTAGTCATCTGGCTGCTGGTTATTAATGTAGTCATCTGGCTGATGGTTATTAATGTAGTCATCTGCCTGCTGGTTATTAATGTAGTCATCTGGCTGATGGTTATTAATGCAGTCATCTGGCTGCAGGTTATTAATGTAGTCATCTGGTGGATGGTTATTAATGTAGTCATCTGGTTGATGGTTATTAATGTAGTCATTTCCCTGCTGGTCATTAATGTAGTCATCTGGTTGATGGTTATTAATGTAGTCATCTGCCTGATGTTTATTAATGTAGTCATCTGGTTGATGGTTATTAATGTAGTCATCTGGCTGATGGTTATTAATGTAGTCATCTGGCTGATGGTTATTAATGTAGTCATCTGGTTGATGGTTATTAATGTAGTCATCTGGCTGATGGTTATTAATGTAGTCATCTGTCTGCTGGTTATTAATGTAGTCATCTGGCTGCTGGTTATTAATGTAGTCATCTGGCTGATGGTTATTAATGTAGTCATCTGGCTGATGGTTATTAATGTAGTCATCTGGCTGCTGGTTATTAATGTAGTCATCTGGCTGATGGTTATTAATGTAGTCATCTGTCTGCTGGTTATTAATGTAGTCATCTGGCTGCTGGTTATTAATGTAGTCATCTGGCTGATGGTTATTAATGTAGTCATCTGGCTGCTGGTTATTTATGTAGTCATCTGCCTGCTGGTTATTAATGTAGTCATCTGGTTGATGGTTATTAATGTAGTCATCTGCCTGCTGGTTATTAATGTAGTCATCTGGCTGATGGTTATTAATGTAGTCATCTGGCTGCTGGTTATTAATGTAGTCATCTGGCTGATGGTTATTATTGTAGTCATCTGGTTGATGGTTATTAATGTAGTCATCTGGCTGCTGGTTATTAATGTAGTCATCTGGCTGCTGGTTATTTATGTAGTCATCTCCCTGCTGGTTATTAATGTAGTCATCTGGCTGATGGTTATTATTGTAGTCATCTGGATGATGGTTATTAATGTAGTCA